CCACGGGATTTCTTGCGTCAGTTTGTGACTACTGACGAAACATGGATCCATTACTACACTTTTGAAACAAAAGAATAGTCAAAGCAATGGAAACACCACAGTTCGCCACCACTAAAGACGACAAAAAAACAGTTCCATCAGCGGGGAAAGTGATGTCCTCTGTTTTTTTGGGATGCTAAAGGCATCATCTTTATTAGAGAGGTTGAGGCGCACGTTTTAAACGTGTAAACGTGTACGTGTGACGTTCGGCGCCGCTTTCCCGTAAGCCTAAAAGTTTGACAATGGTGTTTGGATAGTCGGTGGAATCACGCTCGACATTCCAAACACCATCGTCAAACTTTTAGGCTTACGGGAAAGCGGCGCCGAACGTCACACGTACACGTTTACACGTTTAAAACGTGCGCCTCAACCTCTCTATTGACTACCTAGAAAGAGGAAAGACCATCAATGCTGTCTATTACTGTATACTTTTGGAAAAACTGAAGAAAGAAATTGAAGAAAAGAGGCCACACTTGAAGAAGAAGGTTCTGTTTCACCACAATAATGCCAGAATCACTGAACAAAAGATAAACGAACTTGGCTTCCAATTAGTTCCACATCCACCGTACTCACCTGATTTGGTCCCCAGTGACTTCCATCTTTTTCCAAATTTGAAATAATTCTTGGTTCAAAAGAGATTCCACTCAAATGACGAAGTCATCTCTGAAGTGAACGAGTATTTTGCACACCTTGACAAATCGACCTATTGTGATGGCATAAAAAAGCTAGAACATCGCTGGAATAAGTGCATTGCTAACAAAGAAGACTACATTGAAAATAAAAAAAAGTTTTAACATTATTTTGTTTGTTGTTCTATTTGAGGCCGCGAACTTTCCGAACAACCCTCGTATATCGCAGTGAAAAAATTGCAACAGTATTAAAAGTATATTAAAACACTAAAAGAGACTAGTAAAATGCAGTAAAACATCATCACCGACTCGTGTCGCGACAGGATTGGTCGAATCTGCACCAATAGTGGACGAGCAGCCGAACTACTTACATGCTACGGAGAGTGTAGGTGGGTAAGTTGAGTTTACTATCGTCTGTACAGTATATAAATTAGGTACTGTAAGTTCTAATACAGTACTGTAATTTTATACATTTCTTGTGAAAAAACATTTCTTATTCAACAGCCATAAAAATTATTTCTATTAATGATGTCTCCAAAGTGCAACAAATTTTTTGCAGAAAAATAACTTATCAGAAAATGCACCTACCGTTTGGTGCACCGCTCCGTGACGAAAACAAGCTTAAGCAATGCTGTTGTCAAACGGTGCAAACTCTAAGTAATCCTACAATTTTTTGTTTATAGCATAGTTTATACGGATTATTCCCAAAAAATTATACGTGTTTTGGAAATGTTGAGTCAAATTAGTCTAGAATCGATTAATTTTATGAAAGAAAACCTTTCCAACAGCCGTAGTCCGTAAACTGCACAAGTGCCAGGCTGTGATTGGCTCATATATTTAAAGATTCCTACAACACGAAATTCTTATAAAGTGGAACATATCTACCGCATTATAGGGGGTTTGACTGTATTTAGTTATTCCAGCAGTCACCATTAGATATACTATAGTTTTACCATATTATACAAAATAAGGATTGATGAGGGTATATGGTCTGAAATGCATTTCTTTTAAAAAATAGAAAATAAAATCTACTTTTTCCACCAATAAAAATGTTCCTGTATGATAAGTTCTCCATAGCAATTCTGTGCTTAATTCCAAAGAGCAAAGAACAAAAGAGAGCAAGAATCAATCAAGTGCTAAAAGAAAGTTTTTAGAGCAGCACCATGACTTTCAAAAATGTTAGTTTTATTAAAATGTTGAAATCTCTCAGTTGTTTAATTCGTCAATTTCGTTTCCAGATTTTGGTTTATTTTCATTAAAAAAATTAAAATAATAATAAAAAAAATCAACAAGCAATTGGACTACAAGTTTGGAGAATCACCCACTGGTATTAATATTGTTTCATTTTAACATAACTATTGGGTTTAGAGATGTTTAAATAGGTATTAATATTGCTTATGTGAACAAACTTTTATATTTTAGCTTTGATTAAATTAACTCCATAATAACTGTAAATCAATCTGTTTTTGACCTATTCATTTAATAATAAAATGTGCTGCAATATTCACCTGACAGTAAATGTGTACTGTGTGTTGAGATTAAAAATCATTATTCTAATAAATGCCTTTTGTCTACCTAGAATAAAACATAGGATGAAAGGTCAGAAGTAAGTATTAATTTCACTATTCCTATATTGTACCAATTTTTGCAAGAATAGTACTACTGATTAGTTATACTTTCTTTTTCAAACATTAGATGAATGAGTATCAACTTAAGTGTTCTGCTGGCAATGTCAAATTAAGATTTTTAAACTGGTCAAATTCCAAAGAAATGTCAACTTATCCAGATTATTAAGCTGAGTATCTACATTAACAATTTTACCATGTGATAACGAATGCTTTCAACATTGTGCATAAGACCTATATAAATTGAGCATCAAAATCACATGGTTACGTTCAAATTAGATACTTGACTTGAATAAACTTTTTTATTGTATGAATCAGATGCAGCCAACCATTAATGAGTAACTGCTATCAGATGTCATCTAAATATATAAAATTACTTGTCCTGACTGACTGACTGAGTCACTGATTCATCATCACCCAGAGCAAACCGCTGAACCTACAGAGGTGAAATTTGGTACACAGCTAGAGTATGTCATGAAAATGCACACTAAGAAGGAATTTTTCGAAATTCCCACGTAGGGGGAGATGGAAAGCATTAAGGCTTAACCGGAAAAACAGCTTCTATACTATTTTAGATGCGATTTTTTGTTTTCAACTATGTTTAGTCTTCATTGAGTACTTAGGTGTATTAAATTGATAACATTTCAGACATTGTTATCAATATTTTTATATATTTCAATTTTTTATTCAAACCGTTTTAAATTTTAATTTGTTATTGCATATTGGTTCAATTGGTTATTGCGATTGTAAACATTCCATAAAATTAATCAAATTGAAAATAGTGTGAGACTTTTCTTTGCCTTTTGAAAAACTTTAATTGAGATAAGAAAGATTTGGATAACAGGAATGTTTTAAGGAATACAAATTACATAAAAATATTGTCATTATTATAAAAAAACAAATGTAGGACTTCTTTTTCGTCTTTCCGCGTGTTCTTCTTCAACTGTCGTCTCCTCTCGCAAAGTCGCGTCTCGTCCCGCTCTCATCGTCTCGCCGGCAGATGGCGTTTTGCTCTCCACAATAGTTTGTTTGTTTCTCAGCAATTCTCATCATTCTCGGAGGTAGGTGTTATATAACAATTACTATGGTTGTTGAAATACTGAATATAAATAGGGTTTGTTTGCAAAACCTCCATGGGCAAAGTCGCGGGTAACAGCTAGTTTTCTATAAAACGGCTCAGTAGATGAGCACATTAATGAAAAATTAATAGAACAAGTTTGTAATTTTACACAAATAAATTTTGTTTTTCGTCAATGGGAGGACTTAATTCCATATAGCACTCTCCTTGTATCTGCTACTATTATGTGTTCATCTCAGCAACATATCATCCATCTTTGATTTATTCTCCTTTCTTCCTGCGAGATGGTGTATGAATGAAGTGTGAATTACATACTGTATATCAACTGTGCAACTAATCACAAAGAACAGATGTGATTATCTGTTAACTTGACATGGCAAAATCACTGATGTGGATACCAAATTATAAGTTAAGCAGTACACTGAGTACAGTAAGACCCCACTTAACGCGGGGGATGCATTCCTAGACAGCAAAGCACTAAGCAAAACAGCATTAAACAAGGTTATTTTAATATAGAGTAAATAGGGATAAGGAAACATGTGACACATAAACACAAACATAACACAAACATATGCACACAAAATTGTAAAGTTCATTTTTTGTGATGAAAGTCCTGGCTTTTCTGAAATTCTTGCATTTTGCAATAAAGTTGTGAAGTTTCATTTCTCGTTTTTTTCTTCCCTTAGTCAAATGTCAATAGCAGAAGATCACATCCAAAACACCTCATTTCTTGGGTTCTTCATTTTCAGAATCTCTATTTTCCAGTTCCACACGAATTCCATGTTCTACCAGTTCTTGAAAGTCGTCGTTTGTAAGGCTCTCACCAGAAATCTGATGTAACGTCTATATCCTCTAGTCTTGCTATATCGATTAGGTTGAGTTTGGTCAACCTAACAATACAGCAATAGGCTCTTCTCGTTGAGAATTCTTGGATACCTTCAGCCATAACTTTTTCCACACTTCATTTGTGCATTTATCAGTTAATTCTTGCCAAGCAAAGTCAATATTTCCTATCTCATCCTGATGTTATATTTTTTCCGAAATTGCATCAAACAAACATAGATTTAGAAAAAGTACACCGTTTGCCACCTTTTGCTGATTGGTTTGTGTTTACAAATAATCGAATTATATATGAATCAATGAAATGCCGCGATAATTTAAATTAGCGTAAATTTTGAGCTTTTTTTTAAGGCTTCGAGCAGACCATGTTATGTGAAATCAGTGTTAAGTGAGGCAGCACTAAGCGGGGTCTTACTGTATAACTCAAGATAATGAGGTTCTACTGTATATATCAATTTTAAGTATTTAGAATCTAACTTGATAAAACAATTTAACATCAATCCAATTTGTCATATTGCCTACATGGTTTATTAAAGAGTAAAATTAATTAAAATTTATAATCAATTTGGCAAAATTATTCTGCATATACAGTGAAATAATATTCTAACAGTTAAAAAGAAAAATTAATATTTGTGTTTCGTCTAAACAAATTTAAAAGTCAATAGCATATTTAAAAGATTTAGATTAAAAACCATTTAAATAAAGTACCCAAAATATCATAAAATTTGATCTCTATTTTCATTTGCAAATAAGTTCTATAATGGAAGGAAAAAAGTTTAAAATACTTACATATACAACCAATCAATCTCTTGTCCAACATTGAAGGAATTTCTGTAGGCTTATCTTTTGTTCCAGGACCTCTCTTATATACACGCATATTGAAGGGGTCCTAAAAATTCAGTTATTCACTAATCACATAAAACAAATTATATGAAAGTAAATATTTTGTTATTTCATCTATCTAATCACAAGGATGTAATTCTAAAAGTATTGAATGTATGAAGTCAATTTTGAAAGATTTATATTCATTCATAATAATAATGAATTCAAAAATTAATTTTCTTAAATTTAAAATATTTATTACAGTTGATGAAAAACTACATCAGGGGTGTCCAACCCGCGGCCCGTGGGCCGCATGCGGCCCAAGGCAAGTTCCAATGCGGCCGAATAAACGTGTAAACAAAACCGACAAAATGTTTTAATTTTTTTATTATTTATCTATTTCAACGGCATAAACTCAGAAAAGAAGTTTCACAAAGCGGTAAACCTTTATTCATATTTTATTCTTGAGTGGAAAGGAAGTATTTTCAAATACTTGGAAATGTGTGAATGAGGAAGGATTACTAAATAAAGCTGGAGTTGTGACTCAAAGGATTATAGACCCAAATTTGGGAAAAGGAGGGAAAGATGAGAAAAAACAAAAGATGTAGTAGTGAGAAAGGTTAAATAGATAATCTGTTGACCCTTAATTTTCCAACCTTTCTCACTTTTTTATCTTTTGTCCTTTCTATCCTTTCCCTGCACTTGGGTCTATAATCCTTTGATTCACAACTCCAGTATTATTTACTATTTTTTCCAACGTTGCAAGATTTGGCTACATTGCGCCAAATGTGGCTACTATTTTTTTTTTGATGTAAAAAATATCATTTGGCGCTTTGGCTACTTTTTGGGCTACCTATTATTTATATTAGTTGAATAAAAATGCACTTTAAAATGGTGTTTCGTTGCTTTTTATTAATTAGAGACCCAAATATAACAAATGTCTGTGTCTTTCAAATAAATTTCCGTTTGTCTCTTTTATAATAAATGAATTTATCTATTTCTAAGTAAAAATTGAAAGTGTCTGTAGAAGTAATTTTTAAAATATCCTTTTTCTTGATAAAGTTTTAATACTTATTATTATAATCTAGACATGTTAATCCTTAAATATACTTGTATATTGGACCACAAGTATATATGTACTGTACTTGTGGCCAGTGGCGTAGCGTGGGTGTCAGCCCCCCGGGGAAAAGGAAAATTTCGCCGTCCCCTTATTTAGGTATCTCAATTTAAAAGACTAAAATTCAGTTTCCTCACAGAATAAGTAATGAAAAATTCCGTGCTAGGGTTTGCTAGGGGTTGCCACTTTTTTAAAATCGCCGACCCGGACGGCGGGTGAGGTTTGTTCGAACAGAAGTTCCTGACGCATGCGTATGTCATTTTGCAATGCGAAGAATAATTTGCAGTGCATGCTGGTTCTAAATCAGTTACAGTTAGTGACTAGAGAGACTTGGATAAGAGTAACGCAAGTGACCTAGCTCTATCGGATATTGAAGGTGTATATATATACGAATAAATCGTACAAGTAAGAAAAAAAAAACAAAAAAACAAAAATAAAAAAAGGTCAACAGGTTGCGCACGATATCCTCGGACAACGAGTCGATTCGCGGACTATCCGGATCGATGGTAACACTATTGCCGTGCTCCTTTCAATCGGTCCAAGTCGTAGGTGCACGAAAATATGAAATAAAATGGTTCAAATTCTTACAAGATATTATTATTATTTATTGTCAAATTTTGCCGCCCCCTAAAAAGTACCGCTCGGGGCGGGCCGCCCCTTTACGCTACGCTACTGCTTGTGGCCCAAAACTCCTTGACTTCATCAAATGCGGCCCAGAGAAACAAAAAGGTTGGACACCCCTGAACTACATGGTTAATATAAAAATCTTAATTCAGATTTATTGTGTCTCCCCTAATACAATATCAAAAAGAATGAAATTTATGCAAACTCCAATATAAATAATATTTCATTTTTCAAAGATAAAAGATAAGTTTTGCACTGTCAAAATTTCCTCTCTGATTATTTTTTATTAATATAATTAATAAGATGCATTTCAAGATAAAGATAAAATTTTTCAGTAAACTTCTGAAATTGAAGTACAAAACTGCCAATGAAAGTTAAAGAAAACTATCAAGTGATAATTTGAATCATCCTTACACTGATAACTGACTCAGCATTATGGATGACAAATATTTATGACAACATGAAAGTTTTGAACTACATATTGACATTTCTTAAATGTATTTAGTAAAATTATTTACTAGTAGTAGTTTTTTAAAAACTATACAAAAAAGTTGCAAAATTGGTAATATGAATATATAGGTAGGAATAATCAATAATTCTTCCTCAACAACTGAATTTTCTGAAGCAAATTTAATTAATTAAAAGATGCAAATTATTTTTCTTACGTGACAAATTCATATTTAAATTACAGTTTGTTTAAAGATAAAAACAAGATAATTTATTTCTATATTATCTTTTTTTAACCAATGTAAATATATTTCCATTACTCACTTCATTTCCACTCTGAATTGCTAATAATTCTTTCTTCTCTAATCCAGTGGCATGCTCAATTGGATCGTTGAACATTACTAAAAAATTTAATAGATTATTTTAGTATTTAGAAAGTAATACATTGCAAAAAATGAGTGATTTATGCTCTTTTATATAACCTTTAAATTTCACATGTTATAAAAACCTGTTCTCTACAAGCTGAAAAAGTAAAGTAAATTTATTTTATTCTAACTTGAATAAAAAGAACCCCCAACAATTTCACACACAACTTTCTGTATTAGTAATACAACATAGTTTTAAAAATAACAATCATAAAGATGCATTCATCTCATGGTGATAAAACATAACTTGAAATTTGATTAATACTTATACTTCTAAAAAGTGAAGTTAATTTTAATATAGAGAAATATAAAATATATCATCTTTAAATGTTATATTATATAAAATTATAATTTTTACTTTCTTAAAATTGATTATATTCTTGAAAGTTGATTCCAAAAGTATTAAGATCTTTTGTTTTATTAAAATTCACAAAAAATTTAAAAAACACTAAATTAAATTGTCTTCACATTTTATCCCTTTCCACACCTCTGAAATATGACAAAATCGTACATTTAAATAAACATTTATCTTGAGGTTCTCATCCACATCAATATACAAAACTAAAAATTCCCTTTGTTGTATTTCTGAGGTGCAGAAAAGAATGAAATATGAAAACTTTATTTAGTATTTCTTCTATTTTTCATATATTATAAGTATACTTATCATCCAGGAGTTTTTATTAAAATAGTTTCAATTATCATAATTCTATGTTCCTGTGACAATAAATAAACATGCACCCCAATCAAAGCTGAAATAAATGATGAAAAAAAACTGAACTCATTTGCAATTAAAATGAACTTCATTTAATAAATAAAGCACTCAAAATATGATTGACAAAAAAATTGGTGTTCAATCACTGTAACAAGCATCTCCACATACGCATTAAAGCATTATTCCTCCAAAATAGCAGAGGCAATAAATTTATGAACAGCCAGCATTCAGCAAATACTGTTAGGATTGCAACTTTTTTGCTGCTTTGTGTATTGTTCAGTCAGCAATATGGAAATAAAGGAAACTGTAAAATCTTGTGTAGTTTCTGCATTGTTCAAAATGCAAAAAATGGCAAGACAAAAGCTAGAACTATAAATACATTATAAGTTGCTCCAGAAATGAAAAAATATCGAATAGCTATATAGCAGATTGCTCAAGAATAGTTTGAACAAGTCTACTGTCAGAACCATCCTCAGATACTATGAAGAAACTGGTACTATTGCACCTGGATGCAATAATGGCAAATTGCCAATGACTAATGTCAGGAAAAATTGAATTTTGCATCAGCTTGTTATGAAGTGGTACCTGGTATGTTCATGGAAGCTGCAGAACTATAGAGTGAATGAATAGACTGACCTGTATCTAGATGAACTGCTAGCAACAGATTACATGACATGGAATTACAGTTTATACATGAGTAAGCAAAAGCCTATGTTAATGCTAGTTCAACAAAAGAAACAGTTTTCATGGGCTAAGGACCACCTGCCTTGGACAGAAGCTCAATTGACAGTGATTTGGTCTAACAAGTCACCCTTTCCAATCTTATTTGGAATAATCGGACAGAGTCATCCACTAGATCAATGGTTCCCAATTAGTGGTATGCGTACCCCTGGGGGTACACAAAATTGCATCAAGGAGTACGCGCGGCAATCTAAAATCGGTCGATTTAAAATTTAAATGCATGTGATGAAGCAATCAAAAAAATAATGGGTGGACCATCAAAAATTCGGCAATTTACAACATGATAGTTATAAATAAACGAATTTGTGCATTCCACAACTAAAAATATTCTCGAAATTTCATCAAAAATATGCATTTGTGACAATACCTAAATTCTTAAGCAAGAAATAAAAATTGTACAATTAACACAATTTGTGCTAATTGTACAATTATCAATATTATCATGTCAGCGAAGTGGCAATAAAATATTTACTACCATTTTGCATAACATACCTCTGCGAGAGCGGATTTTCGGCCATGACAAACATGAAAACTAAACATCATCACCGACTTCAACTCAAAGATGACTTGAGACTGAAGCTGACCAAAAAGCAACCAGATTTTACAAAGTTGTGCAAAGAAAACTGTGCACATTTGTCACATTAAAATTAAATAACCTTATGTTATTTTCATTATTATTAGAAGTGTATTTTAAAAGTAATAAATGTAAAAAAAAACTTATTCTATTTATCATTAGCTGTCTACCCACAGCTTTGCCCACATTATATCGAATTTTCTCATGGGAGTAAGATATTTTCTCGCAGTAAAATGTAGCCTATGTCCATCTCCAACATGTAAGCTACCTCTGTGCCAAATTTTATTAAAACCTGTTCAGCGGTTTAGACGTGAAAAGGTAACCAACAGACAGACAGAATTATCTTCGAATTTATAATATTAGTATGGATTAATATGAATTTCTGCTATAAGGGGTATGCGAGTTTGAGTTCTTTCTTGAAGTGGTACGCAGGAAAAACTAATTGGGAACCACTGCACTAGATGAAGGACTCATCCAAAACTATGTGATGCAGGAAGTCAAGTTTCTAAGCACGGTTCAAGTGTAGCAGTGTTTTGGATATTTTGGCATTGGTGATTTGGTTCCACATGATGGGCCTGTCAATGTACAATGCTACCAAGCAATACTTCAACAGCATTTGCATTTACTATCTTTTATAGCCCACATTCAGAAACAGGGAGATGCAATCTTCCAGCAAGATCTTGCCAAGCCACTAACTGTATGCTCCACTACTGCTTGGCTTTGCCAAAATAGAGTCCAAATCCTGGACTAGGTTCCAAATTTGCCTGATTCTGAAGCCAAACAAGGATCTTTGATATATCCACAAGAATGCAAAAAACATAAGCCCAAAATAAAAGATAAGATCTAAGACAGTTCTTCAGGAAGTATGAACAATATTCCTCAAGATCTTTGTTGTATCTATATCAAATCAATGGCTATGCAAGTTGTCAATGTATATGCTGCAAAGGGAGAGCGCACAAAGTGATAATCGTACATGAATGCCGAGTATACAAATTTATTACTTCCAATTTTTTGGAGAAGTAATGCTTTCAGATACACATGAAAATGCCTGTTATAATGATTGAGCCAAATTTTTAAGCAATCACAAACAAAACCTTTTTTAACCAGTAATTGAACTTTAACATAACTTCCGAATGTTTTTGGCCTTCACCAAGGCCTGACTCAGGTAATGACTAAACTGACTTCTCAAATTGGAACGTTAGAACAATGACGTTTGACTTTAAACTTTGAATGTATCAAATTCACATAGCTGATTGACTTCATTCGAATTTCTCGTACAGGTACTGTCATGCATGTGCCACCATCTCACAGTCTTTAAAGTTACACTTGCCTTTTAAGTTGGCTTTACAGATACTGCAGACCAGAGTGGTACAGAAATTGCATACAGGAGATCTAGTACAATTTATAAGCTGCTATGCAATGCAAAAAATAAAATAGATCAAAGCAGAGCCCCAGGAGTGTACTCTATTCCTCTTACGGATGATAGATTCTAAAGGAATTTAGTATATATTGGCTCAACCATACGTTCAATACACAAAAGGGTACGTGAACATCAATACAACTTTGCAAACAACAGGCATACCACTGCCTTGTCCTCGTATGCCACTGATCAAGAAGTACGTGCAGTCCTCCAGAACACCAGATTAATTAGGCAGGCCTTTCAAACAGACCATATTTGTTATCTGGAGGCTTTGGACTGTTTGTGCAGCATTATATCCTATAAGCTTGTTTTCGTCACGGACCGGCGTTCCGTGACGAAAACAAGCTTAAGCAATGACGTCGTCAAATGGTACACACTCGGTAAGTAATCCTACGATTTCTTCTCTATAGCATAGTTTATATGGATTATTGCCAAAAAATTATACGTATTTTGGAAATGTTGAGTCAAATTAGTCTAGAATCGATTAATTTTATAGAAGAAAACCTTTCAAACAGCCATAGTCCCTAAACTGCACACGTGTCGGGCTGTGATTGGCTCATGTATTTAAGTGACTTGTACAACATGGAAATCACATAACACGGAACATATCTACCGTGTTATAGGGGGATCTACTGTATAGACCTATAGCTTTACTTTCAGTCCTGAGAAAATGTTTCACATCAATATTAGCAATCAAATTTCAACTATGGACTAAAACAATAGATCTTGAAGCTAAATTCCAGTATGCTTATACTAAAAACAAGGTAAAAGAAACAACACGTTTCACCAGTCCAGCACAACATTTAATACGTTAAAAAACATTTTCAATTGATTTAAGCGATCTTCTTCAGTTATTCTATCATTGTAACAAATAAAGTATTCGAATTTATGAAATACAAAAAATCAAACTGCAAATGCACATGTTAATGGTAACGTGCATATCCATTCTCAATAAAATTACAATAAACAAAAAATGAAAAGTATAAACAAACTAATTAAAAACACATGAAAAGTATACACCAAGTAAATACTAAACTAATTAATAATGCCGTCTATGAAGATGTATATGTTAAGCCATGTTATCATAAAAGGACTTCCAGGCTGAGGACAAACCATTTGCATCTCTGTGATCGAAGCACTGTGTGGTCATCTGTGCTTTGTGAATCTATGATATATCTTGACAAAAATCTTCTGCAGATAGTAAAAGTAGTAAACTTCCTGGGCATTACATTTCACTGGAATCTCATGCTTAAAGAACCATATCTCCACTTTAAACAACAATGTAAAATCAGCCAGTGACAATCTGTTGTTTTTGTATTCTACTTTAAAAACTTCAAACTTGTTCATTCACATTAAACTTTATAACTCAATAATCAACCCAATCATCTACTATGCAAGTTTAATCTGGAGCCTAGACTATCTATACAGACTAGAAAGTTTTCATATCTACTTCCTCTGCAACCATCTTCACTTGGAGAGAAACGTCCCTGTCATATGCCACAGAACTAATCACACCAGGTTCTTTCCTTTCTTCTTAAAATGAATAATTAAATTTTATCATCATCTAAAATTCAAATGTGATGACATTACCTTTTTACACCAGGAAATAATCAAAAATTGTATAAAACCAAAAACAGAGCATCTTTAGCAAAATAAGTTCAATAAAATACTAAATTCATTTGGAGTGTCAGACCTACTATTTAAAGATAATCTTCAAGAATGGAAATATGGTTAGACATTGTTACTGGAATCTGAAATTTCTCAATCCATAAATAAAGATCATGTTAGCCTAAGCCAGGTATGACCAACATACGGCCCACATCTGGCCTGTCTAATGAATTTATGCGGCCCGCAATTAATCTTTCAATATTAGCTACTGAAGTCCAAATAGCTCGATGAAAACTTCTGACGCCTAGAAAAAAAAAAGGGGTCAACAACTCACTGTGAATTTAGAGTTAACCCTCCATTACAAATCTAAATACAGCGCAGAATGTTGATAAAGCATGATAATGTGAAAAATGTATCTGTAATCTCTACATACAATTTAGTCTCTACAGGGTAACACCACAATAGGATCTCATACCACCTCAAAATCTTCCTAGGGCAGCCTCTGGTTCAGCTCGTGAAAGAAGTTTTCTTTCCAATTTGGCCCAAGGGCAAAAACTGTTGGCCACCCCTGGCCTAAGCCAAAGTAATTACTGTCCTCGATATATAAACTTTCTAAAAATACCATCCTCTCAACCATCTATATATATAACCCATTCAAGAGGTGTCCATCCCGTAACCGTTCGAAACGGACACTAGAGGCGCCCTATCGTGTGTCATATTTCAAACATTCAGATTAACAATTTTAATTATTATTTAAATTAACAATATAAATTATTATTATTCATTTGGCCAATAAATTATTATTTGGTCAATATAACAATATAAATAATTCAGTATATTTGTAATAGGAATTTACTATTTCAGGGGCTTATATCTCGCGAAGGGTCGCGAGTAGGGGTATGGTTCCTTTGACTTTATTGTTCGCACAGGGGGCTACAGTTTGGGGGGATCGCCACCTCTTCATTCGGAGGGTAAATCTTACCATTCGGACTTTTACAGAGCTGTAGAGCATATTGATAGGAACAAAAAAGTCAAAGGAACCGTGCCTCATGGAAATTTGTAAAGAACGCCCACTAGGGGGCGTCTCTGGCTACTAGTACATGAATAAACCAATAAACATTAGTGTAAAAAGACTCATAGCCAACTTCATCTCAACAAATATTCACTTTTCATCAGCAATATCTACATCAACTTTTCAAATAACCAATGCTTTTGGTGCAAATACGATACCTTCTTGATGTATCATCTACTACAGAATTGTCAAAACCTTGAAAATATACAATTCATACAATATCACATGTATTCTTCAATGTAGTCCATCTCTCAACTTTAGAATTTAAATAACCTTAATAATAAAGACCTTTATAATCTAAATAAAAAGACCTTTATAACTACTTCATCAAAATTGTAGAAATAAACAACTAAAAATCTTAATTTCCTAACACACTGGATTGAATATAAAACAGAAACATTTCGGTTATTTGGCTTAAATAAGTCAATTTTATAAACTAAAAATCTTATTCAAAATACATCAATACTGTACAAAAGTTAACTATCTCTGTATTGTCATCTCCAACAAATCTGTATTCTTGTTTATGCCTATAATAGGATTATATGTTACTTACTGTAAATTATTTATACCAGTGTTTTTCAACCTTTTTGAATACACAACCCCTTTACAAGTTAAAAAATTCTGGCAACCCCCCTAGGGCCATATTAAAACTATATCAGTGATTTTAAAAATTATGTATTTAATTTTCTTTCTGTTAAGAGAAATTATTGTTGATTAAAATGAGAATTTGACATGAATCAACAACAACTTAAGACACGTAAAGTATGAAACTTCCTTTACACTGGGACTTGGGGTGCTATTGACTTTTTTTTTTATAGGATGAGAATTTTTAACTTCTACCTTACTACTTATTACTTCTTTTAGCAAGTCAGCTCAACACTTTTACAGCTATCATTTTCTGGTGTGGCCCATACCCACCCGGGCCACTCCCTGGTTACACTCACTGTTGAGACCTGAATGTCGATCAAAAGACCAAACTGTACTGTATAATAAACAGGTACAGCCTTCTCGCTGAAATTGTAGTTTTTTTTAATGTAGTGTAAGACCTACAAACACTTGTCTTTTTCTTTTACCCGCAACTCCCCGTGTAAGGCTTCACAACCCCCTGGGGGTCGCGACCCACAGGTTGAAAAACACTGATTTATACAAACTTGATTATTGTAAGCTGTTTGAATACCTTTGTAAATTTTTACTTAAAATATGTATTACACCCTGCAACAGGGAAACTCCCTTTTTGCTAATAAAGTTTGATTGATTGATAATTAATAATCAGTCAGACATAAGATCTAAGTCCTATCATCATGAAGGACTTAGATCTTGAATTCAGTCCAGATCTATCCCATTGATTTTTTATGGACAAAATAGATCAGGATGTCATTCCTTATATCTTGCCAATTAGTCCTATTGCCAGTCACACCTGTCTATAAAGGATAAAATCAAAGTCAGCAGTGTAACCAACACCATACTTTCAACAAAATATTAATTAATAACTAATACACAATTATATTGTCACATACATTACATAACTATTCCATATAGACAAACAAGTCATACAAAATTCAGAAGAAATCACATTTCTAACAAACACTCACAAAAATTGATATAAAATTGTTATTTATATCTCTGGTTCTTTTCACTTCACAGTAACTTTGCATTTTACAACACATTTAAATTTTTATGTTTAAAAGACTAAAGGAACACACAAAGAGGCAAAAGGGGCCCAATCTACTGCAAACTGGCTCTCGACGGCCAATAATACGGGCAACATTTTTTTTGGCAATTACACAGTTACGGCAACAGGAATCTGTCAGTATCTTCGAAGGACACAACTTTGAATTCGAGTCTAAATATCAAAATTTAGAACAAATCAAGTTGAATACATCAAGACTCATTTTTTTTTACCACTCAGCCAATTCCATGGCAAAGCAGGACTACTCGATACAAGCAAAATCAAGAATAGCCCACAATTCATATTATCCCAAAGCCTCACACCAAGAAAAAAATTAATTCTTTGATGATTCAACAACTGCATCAAATGCTAAAATCTGTACTTTAAATACATAAAATGTACTTTGTACTGTACATATATTTTGTAAATTGTTACAAAATTTAACAAAGTTGAAAAATTGGTAGTAATTACTTTTGAGCCATTTATTTGTATATATGTACAGTACAGTACATATACAAAAATACCTAAAACTAACTCCTACCAAAAGTTTACTGTACAATCCTTCTGGGTGCAATGCAGCTCTGAATGAGGAGATTGGGACCTTATCAGAGCCCATACAAGTAAATAATTAAAAGGTCGTTTAGAAAAAGTTTAAAATTTGAAGTCCAAACTTCTCATTCAAATCTGCAATTTTACCCATTTTTCCACACGTTAGCTCTTACCGATCTTTACGGTGGAATTAGCATTAATTCAACTTCAAAATCGTTAAAACTTTAATACCGATCTCTTATAAACTGAAATTTTATTACTTCTTAATGCGGCAAATAGAATATCCTCTTACTCTTTGTTCTACACGAAGAAAAAATGCATGGCGATCTCTTAACTGCGCTTAACAGTCCTCTTCCAATTATATACGACATTGTTCAATATCAATTCGTTGAGTTTACGCAGATGAACCCTATCAACCGCAATGGCGGACTAACACGACCTTTTTCACAAGAAATATTCCAACTGATGCTAACGTGACTGACGTCATTTCAATTTTTTGTTTTAATTTGTACATTACAAAAATAAATTATTTACGTATATTTATAGATATGCATTAATTTATTAATTATAATTAAATATATCGCTATGAGTGTATTACTCATTGTATTACAGTAGAGCATCGATTATCCAACCCCCGATTAACCATCACATCGGTTAACCGACCGTTCTAATCGGCAAATTTCAAATGTCTGTTAGTGATGTGGCGCTACAATATTTGGCTATGTCTTGGCTACTTTAATATAATTTTTGTTAAATTTTTGCGTGATTTAGCTATCAACACTGGCTCGAACATGAAAGGGAGGCCAGTATTTAAACGAGACTTAATTTTCTAATTATGAGTGGTTGTTTGTTTTGTGAGCAATAAAATAATTTAAAAATAATTTTTAACGATACAATAGCGACGATTATTATTTTAAAAAATTTTTGTTAGGCTTAACATCGATGAAAATTCAACGCGAAGTAGGTTAACGATATACTAATACTGTATACTAATTACATTTAACTAATTAAAAGCGATATACTAATATACTATACTAATAATGTATTTTTTTATCATTTTCGGTTATCCGATTTTTTCAGTTATCCGACCAACCCGAGTCCTCAATTGAGTCGGATAATCGATGCTCTACTGTATTTTTACTAATATAAAAGCCGTTGTCTGTGTGAGGTTTGTTGATTGGGTGAAAAGTGTCGCGACAGTCGAGCGGTCAGGGCTGTCGTGTGGGAGTGGAAAAACTCACTGAGACAGGTTCTCCATCGTAAACCGTTTAATAAATATAAAAATTCCTCTTACAACAAATCCTCAAAAAGGCGTAACACCTATTCAAAGTCGAGAAACAAGTCCGTAACACAAAAAGTTCAACTGTTCTAACGGTAGTTATTCTTCTGGCGATGGTGGCGTAAAGACGTCGGCTTCGGGGTGCACAACACTACTTGGACCGAGGTCTTCTAGCTACAAGGTGGATTTGAGCGATCTTGATGGCACGGAAGGACGAAGACAATGTGTAACAATCTTGGAAAGAAGCCACTGCGAACCAAGGACCAAGAACGTCACATCCTTTTTCCGCGCGGTTTTTATAAGTTTCCTTTGGGTCCCAGATCGAACATTCTGATAGGTCGATGCCGATTTGCCCCCGCTCTCCAATTGGTCCCCCTCCTCGTTACGAATTGTAACGAAATCAGAATCCGGATCGTGGGATGAATCAACATCGACTGACAATTCGATTCCTATCGAAGATGTTCGATCTAAGCACTCAAATTCATCTATTGTTTTCATCTGAGTAGTTCGATTTTCTTAGAAATTTTTACAGACATGTCCTTATATGGACATAAAATATTCATTTTTCGTTTGATGGCTTCTCTTTTACAATAATTATTATTTTCTTCTATACAAAAATTAGAAAAAATTTTCTTTTTCTCACAAATTCTAGGCTCACTTCCGAAGCTTCACATCTGTGTGTGTGAACTCTTTATAATTCTTGTCATTTTTATCCAATCCAGATAAAATATTGGTGATATTCGTTTTATGTTCTGGCGGAAAATACAGGCTATTTATTTTTCAGAACTATTAGCTATAGCAGCGCTGTCCAACTTATTATAGCCCGCGGGCCATATTTTCTTCACCAAACATTTCGGGGGCCAAGAAGGTTGCTGCTGTATTCAGCCAGGTTAAGTGAAGTTACGCAAACAAAATAGTACCTACTTTAAATTCAAATTAGATTTAAATTTTCACATAGTAAAATAATTTTAATATTAATAATAATAATTTAGTAACATAAATTTATTCATAGTAAAATGTACTCGGGGGCCGTAAAAATTATTTGGTGGGCCGCCAGTTGGACAGCCCTGTAATATAAAATAAATATTGAAAATTGTAACGAGATAGTTACGGTTAATAAATATATTATATCTAAATAAATAGATGTTATATGTTTTTATCAAAGCGAGAATTGGCATTTAGAGGGCATATGGAATATATTGGATCTAATAACAGAGGTAATTATATTGAACTTGTTTATTTATTAAGTACGTCGGATAAATAATCTATTAAAAATACATTTAAAGAAAGAATTAACTGATTGCCCTGGAAGTCGGTTTCTTATAGAAACACAGCTTCCCTATCATCAAATGTCACGGCACGCCACTGGAACTGACTACCAGTGTTTAGTGGTTTCACCACTCGGCCACTGGTGGGCTAATTTAATCAATGTGTAACATTCTGAAAAAAGGTAAAGGTAGGAATCAAAGCCGCACATTTCAAATTTGTCGGAGTCGGACTATTTGTTTACTGTCTCCAGCGCCTAATTAAAACTTGTGTGGTGGCGCCATCTGTTATGAGATTTTAAAATAATTTTTATACTATTAATTATTACTACGACATCGTGCGATATTGTCGCATCACGATAGAATTGAGGTGGATCCGGAAAGAAAGAAGCGATCCCTGCCCTTGTTAGGTTTAGAAGTGTCGAACCTTGTACTGTATCTGACGGACGTGGACAGGTGAACTTTGCACTTGTCACCACGAACGAGATTATCCTTGTATAAGCTTTTATCTGCAGGAACACATGGCTGCAAAGTCTATTAACATAAGGTCTAGACAAGATACCGTTATGCATCGCGGCAGTTACCATTTTGGATTCTTTTCAGGTTATGTGTACGATGTTTCTAGAGCGAAGCTGATTGTTTCTTTCGATCTCAATTAGTTAGATTTCTTGTTATATATATATATATTTTAATGGTTTGTTATTCAGCACCGAATTGTAAAAATTCGACAGCCAAAGGTATAAGATTGTTTCGTTTTCCATCTGATAGATCCAAGAGAGGGATAATTTAAGAGTTAATATAAGTAATGGTTTATTAACACTTATTCTAAAATGTTTGAAGTATGCATTATTCAAATGGTTTTAATTAACCTTGTTTAAATTACATTAAAACATGGTTCTCAGATCAGTACTAACCTATAGACTGTTTGTGGTGAAGTTTTAGTTTTCTGACAAGTTGTATAACAACGTTACGTGACTTATTAAACAGAATAACAGAAACATTAATATAACAAATTTACTAAAGAGAATAAATGTTATAATATTGTTTGTGAACTAAAAACACACTTTAAAATGTAAAATAAAATGTAGTAATTGAAATTAAAACTTTCAGTCATTTAAATTATATTTCATAATAATTGGGTCCATCAGTGGCTCAATTAACTAAAACAAACAAACAGTCATAATAATTGAGGGTAATGTAACATACTACAGTACTAATGAATAATTGTTGCTTAATAATCATTTTATTGTAAAATAACAGAAAAAATAAAGTTGAAGTAGATATTTCTATTTTTTTCTACTGTGTAATAAATTTTTATAAATATATTTATTTAATTCGCTATAAAAATAACTAAATTTAGTTTATATGCATAAGAAAGTTCCTAAATAAAGGAAGTTATTATCTCTTGCAAATACTTCTGAAGGTTTAGTTTACATAACATGTAAAGTTTGTGAGAATGGTTTTCTTTTCTCTTCATCTAATTTTAATTTATAAAAATGTTTAATCTGAGCTCGTATGTTATTTGAAGATCTGCTTCACAGACTTATTTTTTTAAGTTTAATCGCTATTCACTCTGGACATACCAGAAAATTAAAAAATATTATATAATTTCTTACTATATGTAATAACAAACTAAAAGTATTCTTTCCATTTTTCCATGGATGATACAGTACATCTTTGTTGNAAAACATTTTCACTTAGTTCAAATCCAAATCAAGAGCTCGCTATTCCATGAAAAACCGTATTAATATAAGTACAAAATGAAAAACACATTAATAGTTTTTACCAGAAATATCTGGACACTCGGTATGAAACGATTCCGACCCCGAATTATCTACCTCTATTAATTAACCCTGTTTACATCGCGGAGTAACACAATGGAGGAGGACGCTTACAAACCGTGTCACGTGACCTGGAGTCGACGTTACTAGATGGATAGGGGTGAACAATGTATAAACATAGTATGTATTTCACACCTCCCCCTCGCCACTTAGACTATGCCTACGACAACAAGTCGATCGCGACACATTTTTTAAGATAAAAAGTGGGTCATATGTATACAAAAGTTGGCCACCCCTGCCCTAGACCATTCATCACCGACGCGCAGTTAACTGATTGCCCCTGAAAGTCGGCTTCTTACAGAAACACAGCTTCCCTATCATCAAATGTCACGGCACGTCACTGCTTTCGAAGGAATATTACATTTACAGAATTTCCAAATTTTGTCACGTCTACCAGAGTCAGAGTCAAAGCTGGATTTTTTCCATTGACATTCTAAACATTCCAATCCGTTAGTTCGCGTCGACCCTTGACTTCACGGGGTTAGAATATAAAAAAATAGTACACCTATAAAGTCCCACTATCGTCCGTTCGTCTGTCTTAATCTCGAGAACGGAGCTAGATGAAATCCGAGACCAGATACAATTAACTATATATGAACTTCCGATGCAAACCGGAAGTCACGTTTTTTCAATTAAAAACTTTCCCCGAAAGCAGTTAATAGATGGCTCGCACGACTTTATTGTTAAAGGAAAAGCATGATGTACCGGAGCAAGCCACTTCTAATTTCAGATGGAGAGCATGTATTTTAAATTAAATGACTCAAAATTGGCAGGCCGGCATTGTGACGATGTCACAATAAATAATTGCTGGTGAAATTTTACATATGTACTAAACATGTCTGACGTAGTTTCAGTAACTTATATATGTAGTGATAATGAATGAAATGATTGATATTCTTATATATATAACGCTTATCAATTCTTTATCAAGAGAAAACACAGAGGCGGCAGCAGGCTATAAGCGACACATTGTAATTGCTGATTTTGACATTTTTGTAAACAAATTCTTGCAAGTAACAGTTTATAAAGGGCTATAAAAATGTTTATTGATTCTTTAGAACTACATGCAA